ATACATATATATACATATATATACATATATATACATATATATCTTTTAAATCATTTCGCCACCGATCCTCATTTTAACAGCTGATGCATGCCTGGTATAGTGGAAAAAAATCAAAATCCACTAGATGCTACAAGGTATGAACAGTAAATTTAAATAAATACTTGAAGGAAAAATTTAATCAAAACATCTAATTTTATAATTTTCTCATCCTTGTGGATCAGCATATATTTCTATATATCAAAGTAATCATTTTAAAGAGTAAAATGCAATTGAATGGTTTTTTTATGATTTAAAAAAAAAATTAAAATTTTAGATAGAATTTATTTGAGTATTTTTGCACTTCTACCTTATAAAAAATTGGGTATTATAATTTTATTCATCGTTACTTAACTAGGATTCCCATAGTTTAACTGTTTCCTTATTTTTAAATAGCCGTGGAACAAAAAATTAAATCTACTACTTATGGAAATAATAAAAAAAGTGTAAAGCAACACATTCCTAATCAATGTAAATGCATAGAAAATCACATATCTTTTAATCATCTTTGACTGTAAGATGTACAAGAAATAGCATCAATTTCTTACGGTGGGAAGAATTCTTCCATAGAGAGAGAGTGGTGTTTTCTCTAGAGGGCTGGAGGAGCAAAATGCACTATCAGAGAATTTTGGAATTTTCTAAATGGTTAATGATGTCTCCATTCTATTGGAATAATTATTGCATTTGCAGTGCTACCAGCAGAAGCATTGATGGTAGCGACAGAAGGACATCCTAAAATTATCATATATCAGAATTAAATCCTTACTTGATGCAGTTTTCTTCGCAGGGCATTTGGTTGTATTCAAGAAGGTGTATCATAACTGTTAAACATTGCCATCTGGAAAGGATGGATCAACAACTCAAAGAAGCAGATGTGGATATTTGGGTCTTTTTAAGAGGGTGCAGATTAAGTTCTTGGGATTTGTGAATGCAAATAGAGGAAAATGAGTGTAGTTTGTGTATTGGGTATTGGTTTCGGTTGACTGTATGATAATTAGAATATAGATTAGCAGTGGGGATAGTTTAGGCTGTGTAGGATACTAAAAGGGTGGAGAATGATAAGGAAAAAAAAAGATTAATTTGGGATTATTTGAAAGATGAGCTGATTTGAATTGAAATTAGGTTGTAGCGTTTAATGGAGAGATTGTTGGCGGTGGTGGTTGCAAAATTTGAATTCAAATTTAAATTTTAAATTTGAATTTGAAACTCAAATTTGAATAAATTAACTGAATGAGATTGTGAAGAGAAAATGTGGCGAATGATGTTTTCTTTTAACTAGCAGCAAAAAGGCCATATAGTAATCGTGTAGAAACAGCTAATAATTAGGAAAAAAGTCAGCGAACAGGATTCAAAGAACAATGGATACAGGAAAGCATTAACATCATGAAAGGAGTTGCAAACACCATTATGAGAAAACAAACAGTTGCTGTACTTTCCTCAAGATTTGAAGCCTGATTGTGTATTAAGATATGAAATTCAAAGAACGGAAGGAAAGTGATACCAAGCAGTGGATCATCAACCTGTAGATGCTGAATTCCAAGCACATTTGAACTGTAAAATCTTCAAAGTAGAAAATTAGGGAACCGACGAATTGGTTGGAGGGAATAATTATTCAACTCTTCAAAGCCATGCTTTTACATAGCAAAGGTGATGTAACCTGACAAGTGAAAGTCCAAGCTATCTTTAAAGGCTTGTAATGTAATATTCCTCATGAAAATAATAAATGAATGAAAAAGATTTGTTCTCTATTAAATAAAAATGCATGGAGTAAATTCCATCTTGATCATCATAAATCGGGCGACATGCAATAGTCAATGTGTGGTAGAACTTGGAATGATAAAAAGAAACTGATTATTTTAAGAGGTAGTAAAAGTAGCACCTAATTAAATTAATGTGGAAAGTGAAATTAGATGGCACTATTAAAGCTTGTCGATATAATGAATTTGGAGGAATGGGTTGAAAATGATTAGGTTGAGAGTAGTATGGTTAGAGGTTGCAAAAAAAATTGCCTTTTGTGGTGTTTAACAAGAATAATGAAAAAATTTGTTCCATAATTTGAAACTTAAATTCTCAGTGTAGGCTATGATTTTATAAATACATAATTTATGTTTTGAATGAATTTATATTGCTTTTTATATCCTTTCCTCTTTTTTAAAGATGACTTAATTTCTAGGGAACTTACAAACTTTCTTATGGGTTTCCTTTCTATTTTCTAAATTAAGGGCAATTTACTCAATTATCTTCATCTTTTAGTTAATTCTTCTACCATTATTACATATTTTGGATGCTTTTCCTCTTTAAAACCCCTGAATTTTTTTTTTCAATGCAGGTTTGAACCAGACATGCTAGCATTTTCTGGTTGTTATTTTGGTGGTGGCCAGAAGGAGCGGAATGAGCTTAGTAAAATCAGGGAACGCTGGGAGACATTGCCTGTATGATTACTTTTCTTGAGTTATATTTTCTTACATTAGTGCTACCATTCCAACCTCAAGTTTACTTTTAGTTTGAATATATTTGAATCTCATCCTTATTTTATAATGATCTTTTGCTGTTTATTTCTATATGAAATAGTCCATGACGGGTAGTAAATATTATTCAATTGACAACTAACATAACTTTATCATGTTTAATTACATGTAATTTTTTTCTCTTGTAACCGGTTATTCCTGTCATGGGCTTATCTTTACTTTTAAAGTTTTTTTTTTCTTGGTCACTTTTTAGGATGTCATTGTAATATCTGAAGATAAATTATATTAATAGAAAAAATTAATAAAAGAATAATAATATTAATAAAGAAAAAAGTGCTCTCATTTAGAGAGATGAATCCTCTGGGATGAACATATTTCTCTCCTTCGATTGTCTATTCATTCGAACCAACAAAGAGAATGAGTGAGAGACAAGGGGAGAGATCGAGAGGAGAAACTACCGTATCCTAGCTGAAGAATGAAGAAGCACGTGTGACCACTGTGCAATGTCGGGCTGCGCGAAGAAGAAGAGGAACGAGAGGGAGGCTGCGATATTGAAGGCTTACCTGGACTGAGCCACGATCTAGGAGGAACCTATGGTTTCTTACGCTGCTGTTGTGTGAAGGAGAAGTCGAAGAAGAAAGAAGCATCCGAGGGATTATCTGGTTTGAACTGCAACCGAAGACTTGTCGTCTTCGCCAGAGAAGCCGAAGCAGTGAGCCTTGCGTGCGACTGTTGAGGTTATTGAGCCTTGTGAAGGAGAGGCAGAGAGAGGACCTACTTGTCATGCTCGTGTGCAAAAGAAGACGCGACGTGGAGGAGGGAGCCGAAGCTCGCATGCTCTATTGGGGTGAGACAGGACCGAAGGAAGGAAAAGTGCTTGCGTGGTCGAGCTGAGACCGAAAGGAGGAAGTAGGGAAGGGCTTTGAGCGTGCGTATGGTTAATGAGGCCGTAAGTTAATAAGGTATATTGGAGATTTTAAATAAGCTAATTTATTTGTATTGTTATATGAACATACATATATATGTGTGTTATAATGTGTGGGTGTGTTTAATAACATTTTTGATAAGTTTTATTTAAATCAAAACTAATATTAAGTGATTTCAGATTTGAAGGATAAGTTGGAAGAGCTTGCGATTTAGGGGGAGGATCGATTCGAACAACTTATAAGGTAAATCTTCTAATTTAAATTAATTAAATTATTCAAATGTTATATATATATATATAGTTAAAATCCCTTATAAGTTCGGATCGATATTTTGTGATTAAGTTGTTATGGTATATAAGTTAATATATCGATTTTAAATAAGTTAATATATTGATTAAATCGATATATAAGTTGTTCGGATCCAATATAGTATTAAATTATTCAAATCCCTTATTCGAAGGAGAATAAGGGATTTAAGAAGTTAGGTAAAAGATTAAGCATTTTGGATCGTGAATTTTGTGAGTAGCAGGAAAGAGACAAGTGGAGATAACTTATATTTTTATTTATACTCCTGTTTGAATTACGTTGGGTGGATAAAATCTTATAGGTAAAACTGATAAAATTATTCGATTCAAGGATATATATTTAAAATGAATGGTTCTTATTTAAAGTATGCACTTTAGATTAATATTAGTGGTTGTCCAAATAAGTTTTTCAGTTATACCTTGCTTATTGAAAGTCTGAAATGCCATAAGAGATGGGGGGACATATGAATGTACATTTTAATAGATTTTAATTGATATGAAATGTTAAGTAAAGGCTTTAGTCATATTGGATTACCCCCTAATGATAGTGTCAGGAAATGAAATGTACCCTTGCATGTTACAGGAGATGGTAAATGTGTACATTCAAGTATAATTTTGAGGCTTCAGACACAATTTTGTACACTCTGCTCGGTCTGACCAGGATTCAACACTAATTCTGAATATTCAGCTGCCCTTGGTCTACCAAAGCTCTTTTGAGGTTGTTCAACACTGCCCCTAGAATCTATTAGAGACTTTACCCAATCTTGGACACTTCCTCGCCATATGTTCTGGCTGGTGGCACCAAAAGTAGGTGTTGGATCCAGACAAATACTCACCCTTGTGAGACCCTCCACACTCATCTCATTTTTTTCTCTTCAAATTGAGTCCCAATGCTATTAGATTTTGCCTTCTTAACATTATTATTACCTTGTTAGGACTGGCTGCTCTGAGAGCATTGTGGAAACTTGAATTCCTATGAATTTCTTCTTTTGTGAATGTCACTCGTCCTCTGAATAACATCCTGATCAACTCAATCCTCCTGATTCTCTCCACCAACATAGAATAATCATCTATTCTAAGAGGAATCAATGGTTTTCTAACATATCTTTCAGCCCAGATAGAAATCGATGACGTTTTTCCTCTGCATTTGGAATCAACTGAGACACATACTTTGAGAGCATAGTAAATTCGACCTCGTATTGCATAATTGAGTTATTACCATGTACTAACTGGATAAATTTGTCTTGCATTTGCCTCTCGACGGGCAATGGGATGAACCAAACTCTAAAAGTGCTTACAAATTCATCCCACTGTATGATATGGCTGGCTCTACCCCCATATTTCTCATATAACTGACTCAGCCACCATCACTTTGCCTCTCTTTCTAATGCAAATGAGGCTAATGCAATCATTCTCTCCGGAGGACAAATCAATCCATCTAAGATCTTTTCCAGCCTTAACAAACAGTTTTCAGCATCCATTGGATATTGTCCGCTAGAAAAGAGAGGTGGCCTTATATTCGGAAATAATTTTTTTCGTGTTTGTCAATTGGTCTCCTCCACTAGAACTGACCCGAGTCTGAGAATTATTAATCAGCCGCATTACTACAGTTATTATCTCAGTAAATGCATCTATATTCACATAATCTATGGGGTTGTATCAGCTTCTACAGTATCATCTCTAGCTTCTTCCCCTTCATTTTGTATATTTTTGAAATAATGTAAGAACGAATAATTATACACAATTTAACCCTTCATTAATATCGCTTATGAATTAAATTAATCATCTTGATGGCTCTTTTTTATCATGATTCAAGCTAAACTCTCTGTTAACTCTTTTGTCACAACTCGGCTTGATAACTTGGAATTAACTGAGTCTAGAACTGCAGTTGAATGGTGCAAATATTTAGATTACAATCTACAGATTTATAGAATATTCTAATATGTAAAAGAGCCACTAAAATACACTAAATGCAAAAAAATCAAACATTCTGAAGCAACATAATATGGATAACATCTTAAACCAATATTGAAAAATGTATCACTATATGGGAAAAAAAATGATACAAAGAAATTATCATCATAAATAACTAATAGTGGTCCTTCTCTTGTAAACCAAGTCTTTCATACCAAACATATCAACCTATAACTTTTCTTTTCCTGAAAGAGAATTAAATTTAACAGTGATTTTGACTTAGTGAGTAATGATAATCTTAATATGCGTTAAATACATACCTATTCCTCCCCAATGTGATGCATGAATGATCAAAATAATATGCAATTCATTATTTTATAAAACAGTAACTTTCAATTTAAGTTTATCCCTCCCATTTCACTTTAAGTATTTACTCTTTTTAACCTCTTTAGAAGTTATAGCACGATTATTTTCATCCTTGAAGATATTCTCAAAATATTGTTGAATTTTTCATAACAAATGTACCCGAATGTACCCTCAAAATTGCAGCTGAATGTACATCCTTACCATTTTCTTTTTCATGTATGATTAAATCACATCCCCAACAAGTATTATCCGGGGATACTCCTGAATGAATTAAACTTTTATTTAGCATTTCATATCAATTAAAACCACTTAAACATCTACATTCACATGTCAGTCCTTTTTTTTCCATTTGTGAAACATAATTCAAACTTTCAAATATTTTAAACTATTTAATAAAATAATTATTTTTTTAAGAAAACCTTAATTTAATGCATAAAAAATAATTACTCACCTCTACTTAAAATACTTCTAAAGAAGTTTAAGCCTACATTTCATTTCCTGGTCTAACACCTAAATCACTTAAAAGTGCATATAACTGTAAGCATCACATACTAAAGAAAGTCTTAAATGTTTACTTATTTAATTATGTAAGAATTTTATGATTTAAAATACTAACCTTTTTTAACATTAAGATTCTTTGCCTTCCTTAAATCCTGAGAATTTATCTGTCTTTTTTACACTTTCTAATTACATAAAAATTTAATAACATTTATTTAAATAATTATATTATTTGTTCTGATAATAATTTAACATTAATATTTATCTTTTAAGTTTCTGGAATTAATATCCTCCCTCATTCACATGCTTCTCCACCTTCTCCTCGAATATGAATTCACCATTTCTTTGAGTCATGATTTCAATAAATATTATTATTAAACACATCTCTCTCTCTCTCTCTCTCTCTATATATATAT